TTTGATGACACGTGGTTAATGATGTCAGGTATCTGAAGAAGACTGGAAAACTTGAGAAGTACTGTAATGATCTTAATTCCATTAAAAAACTGACCTTAAAAGAGGAAGATGAAGACGTTATAATAGAAAAGGTTAAAATGAAAAGTCGGTATGAAATAGTGAAGATAGTTATGTGAAATGTGCAAGACGTCGTGTCAGAAGTGCAAGAAATCAAAAACATATTGAAGCATGAAAAGAAAGAAGCAGCAAATTGAACCTATTAACTTAAAAATTCTGTGTAGAATATTCAAAGTAAAGCTAGATCAAATTTACCGTCTAAACAGATTGATTTTACATATTGGATATGATACAAGTAATTAAACTAATGTGGATATGATGGGTTTTTTTTTTACAACATACTATATCAAATTTACATTCAACAGATTGATTTTACATATTGGATATGATACATGTAATTAAACTAATGTGTAAATGGTTTTTTTTAAAATATACAGGACATGGGGTTGTGGGAATTTAAAATAACTGTTTTTGAACTACTGTTAAAATAGTTTTCATTCAAGCATTTTGTTTCGATGCATTGATACATATTGCAAGGACAATTGGTTTAAATGTTGACTATGCTGAAAACCTAATTTAATGGTACCTGAGCAAAACTTGTTGAACGATATTCAAGATATGGAGGTGTTTTGACAATATTTTAATGTCAACTTATCAAATATCTAAATTTGCATGATTTTATTTTCCAATTTTTCATTCTTCAGTCTGTTTGACTAGTCGACAGGAGATTCTCACTCCTCCATGGCACCTGATCCCACTTCTGGTGTTTTAGAGGTCTGTGTAAAACTTGCTCTGCTCCAGTTATTGCAGCCCGGAGGACCGGGCTGCTCTATACATATAAGTTTAAGTGTTGGTGTATGGGGATTGGGGTGGAAGTAGTTATTTAGAACTAAAAGTTTTCTAAACATTGAATAGATTGTTATTCAGAGTGTTCTTTCTGTTTATAAATTACAATATATATAGCATATTTACTTCCGTAAAGTGAATCTGTAAAAATATAAATGTTTTTCATATTTAATATATAAAGAAGCTTATCATTTACTATCGAAAAAACGACAGGTCCCTTTTTTGAGAACATCGAATTTTACTTCTCGGATAAAAACGTACTCCGCACAGTGCGTGTTTTATATTCTAAAATTGAAAATGCATGAATACATTTTTGAATATAGGTAATGCATGTGTCTAACTTCAATTTATATTTTATGAAGCCAATTTTTACTTGAGGAAATGAATAAGTTTAAAATGGTATCGTTTTAGTTTGATTTTTATCCGACTATAAGTTTTCAAAATATTCGCAACTATGGTCTCTATCAATTAGACGCATGCCTTTTCACCCACATCGATGCGGTTATTTTCATTGTTTACTTTATATATTTCCCGGGCGACAATTGATGGTTACATCAAAGTTTTCTTGTGTATTGTTTTATGGACTTTGATATTGAATACTGTGCGTTATCTCCATTTCCTTAAGCTTCTGTTTTAATTTTAACGTTAATTAAGTTACCCGAGTCATACAAGTAGACAATTGCTTTCAGTTTTCATCGTCTGTCGTGCATGATGGTAACATTTTCAGCATTTTGAACTTTTAACATATATAAATCATATGCTTTCTTTGTTTGCACGAGAATTAATGTTGTAGCTATTGCAGTAAAAATGCATATTAAACAACAAAAGCGGGTTATTTTTTCTATAAAATAGCTGGCAAAATTCTTAATTCCCGTACTAACAAACTTGAAAAAGATATTTTATTGTATCACACCTAAACCGAAGTTTAGGGGGCCTTATGTGATACTCTTGTATTGGCGTCAGTGTCACAGGATGCCCTACATTGGTCAGAGATGCACTTAAGATGCTTCTGATGTGTTGTGTCATTGTACCAGACAAGGTTTCAGATGCTCAACGAGCCTGCAGATTTGTAGCGTTATGGTATATGTGTTTTTGGCCACAACGCTAAAGATCCAATAATATTAGTTACACAATCTCAATTAGTGACCTACAGGAATTATAGGGTGTGAAATGGAAATCCGTATTGGGCGAGCGAAGCCCGAGTCCCAATACGGATTTCCATTTCACACCCTGTATGATTCCGTATTAGGTCAATAACTGACTGTGTAACGAATTTATCCCGCTGAAGACCTAACGTTAATTCTTAAATATTTTAAAAAAAATATATGTGCATATTATGAAAATATTACGTTTTAATCCAATAACAATCAACATAAAATATCGTAACAAGAAATTTAAGTAATCAAACTACCTACGATAACCGTTTCTTAGCCGCCATTTTTATTTACAATAACAACGCTTCGAACGGAATCGCGTGCCCGATTTTCATATTACGCCTTGACGGAGACGTAATATTGAAACGGAGACGTAATACGGAAAATTTCAGGGCGTCATGTGATCAGCTTTTATCCAATCAGCAATCGTCAAATTTGTCTGAAGTGGGATAATGCAAAAAACGTGCAATTTACGGCGCAATATTTTTTGCGTACTTTGGGGAAGAATTTCTCCACTTCAAGCACTGGTGATTCAACTACCTTTCACTCCCTATAATTCTAGACACATTCTGTAGTCGATATGTATATTTTATCCACCTCCGAACCATTTATAGTTGTCTCTACAGGCAATAAACTCGCTTGAAGTGAATTTGCAGCAATCCAACAAATAATTTTAATCAAGCGAGTTTATTACTCGCAGAAGACGACTATAAAGCTTAAGGGTTGGGAGATAGATAAAGTATACAGATAAGTTTAAATAATGTGCCTAGGATTCATCATTAAATTTTAAACAAAATGTAAGAAAGGTCGCTTTTAAGCCAAACAGTATGAGGGTCACTCAAAAAAATATGCAGACAATGTTCCTCAGCAGATTATTTTTACAAAATTTAATATCTATACATTTTCATGTAAAAATATATATTATATAAATTTTTGAAGTTTCATTCTATTTGATTAAGTGGAACTCACGTTAGCCAATTTTAAAAGCAACATGTTTTGTCACCATGGAGCACGGTAAAAAACATTGTAACGTCAAAAACAACGTTTAAAAAAAATTCTCAAACTCATTGTGCCTTTTCTTTTTATACATGGGTTTGTGTCGTATTCCTCATTCATTAAAACATATCCACAACACTTGACACCTAGTATTCTAACAATAGTTTAAGATTGTCAATGCTTTCAAATACTTTGCCATGTATCTCTGCTTTTACAGGTTCCGCAACAGTGAAGCGCACATCACGTTTCATGACAAGATTTTGAACTTTGCGGAGCGGCCATCGCCCAATTTAAAGTCTTTACTCCTCAAAATTTGCCATTTCCATTATAAACAAATACACGGCTCATTCAATCTAATTAAAATTAGATGTTAGATCCGCTCGCATACTCGCTACAGTTAGTGTAGCGAGTATGCGAGCGGATCAAACATCTAATTTTAATTAGATTTGATTTTTGTATTTTTCCTGGTTTATCCAGCATTTTTGAGTTTGTTTTACAAGTTTCCAACAGCAAAACAGACTTATATTGCGACTCGCTGCTCCCTGACGTCCTTTGATGTCATGATTTTTTTAATCAAGACTGTCTGTCTATTGAAATTGATATCTTTTAACAGAGCAATGTATTACATTGACTTTTAGCTTTTGAAGAAATGAAACAATACTTAATTTTAAGTATATAAGTTTTATTTCATTTAGAACAATTTTAAAAGAGGTATGGCCATAGGTATGAAAAGTTAATTTATCAGTCAATAACTCAATTTGTACCTGCTCCGTGACCCCATTTTTGCTGCTCAAAATCTCTAATAATTTTGAAAAAATCAAAATATAATCCAATTTCTTTGCTCAAAATATTTGAATCTGTTGTTAAACTATATATACCAAATTTGGTTTAAGTATGACGTTAAATAAAAAAAAGTTATGGTTTAAATACGACGTTAAATAAAACAAGAGACCCATGGGCCACATCGCTCACCTGAGAAGCTTTGACAATTCTGTACTTTACTAGATTTACCCCTTGTAATACATATTGTGACCCCACCTTACCCCACTGTTCATAATTTAGACAATTTGAAATCTACACTACCCCAGGATGCTTCCACAAAAGTTTTAGCTTTCCTGGCCCAGTAGTTCTTGAGAAGATTTTAAAAGATTGGTTTTATATATTTCTATGTAAAACTTAAATTCCCCATTGTGTCCCGCCAAATCCCTGGGGGTGAGTGATTGAACAGTTTAGAATCTACACTACCCCAGGATGCTTCCACATAAGTTTCAGCTTTTCTGGCACAGTGGTTCTTGAGCAGAAGATTTTCAAAGATTTTTCCTATATATTTCTATGTAAAACTTTGATTCCCCATTGTGGCCCCGCCCATCTCTGGGCCATGATTTGAACAAGTTAGAATCTACACTATCCCAGGAGGCTTCCACATAAGTTTCAGCTTTTATGGCCCAGGGGTTCTTGAGAAGAAGATTTTCAAATATTTTTCCTATATATTTCTTTGTAAAACTTTGATTCCCCATTGTGGCCCCACCCAATCCCCGGGGGTCATGATTTGAAAAATTTAGAATCTACACTACCCAAGAATGCTTCCACATAAGTTTCAGCTTTTCTGGCCCAGTGGTTCTTGAGAAGAAGATTTTTTAATGACCCCACCCTATTTTTGTCTTTTCTTGATTATCTCCCCTTGCGAGGGGATATGTCCCTTCATTTTACCAATTTAAATTCCCTTTCACCCAAGGATGCTTTGTACCAAGTTTGGTCATAATTGGCCCAGTGGTTCTTGAGAAGAAGTAGAAAAGTTGAAAAGTTTACGGACGGACAGACAGACGGACAGACAGACGGACAGACGGACAACGGACACAATGTGATCAGAAAAGCTCACTTGAGCCTTCGGCTCTGGTGAGCTAAAAAGCCATGACAAAAGTCTACGAACTTTTTGAATGACCCTCGTATACATGGTATAATACAACACTGTTTAATGGGTGTAATGTATTTCAGAGCATAGATGTATTAAAATCACAGTGTTGTACATTCTGTGTGTATTATATTAAAGTTATACATAACAAAATACAGTTAAATTATCACATAATATATATATAGATTGCAATTTGAAATCTTTGGCCAATACCTAGCTCTATTATTTATCAGCAATAAAATTGAATAATGATGCCTAGTACATGTATTTAAAAAGTGTGACACGATAGAAAAGAAGAATAAATTTCAATTAAACATTGCCAGTGAAGCAGCTAGAAAGTATACAGGCTTCACTGTATATTTTGATGACATATTCTATGCAAATTTTAAATATCCAATCATGGGAGATGCATAGTCACTCAATACTAGTATTCATCATCGCCATGAAATATCATCACATTATTTAATATATTCCAAATATCCACACTTCACATAAAGTGAAGCTACCAGATTCTCTAGGTTTTCCCTCCTAGCATAACTTATCAACAGAGCTTGTAAATGACAAAAGTTCTGCTTAATAAATCACCAAATTTAACAATGGCATTTTAAAAAATAAATTCAAGGTTGGTTGTTGTCTTATTGTCACCATTACTGGTGATCATTGGTGTACAGAGGAGGTACCATATAGGCATGAAATGACTGGATATCAAATAAGCACTACCAGACCCTAAAAGCAGGCGTTGACTTTGTTATTGACCTAGCGTTACCAGTACTGATGATTATTGGTGTAGGGAGGGGGTACCCTATAAACAGGAGGTGGTATTGTAGTGAGAGGGTTGTAGTCGGGGGTGGAGGGAAGTGACCTTTGATCGATCAGGTCCACTTCAGATGAAGGCAGCTCGTCATCACGTGACAAAATGGTGGGGTTCCTGGGACAAAGAGAGGGGTCCTCCACAGGGACCTCAGTCTGAAAAATGACGGGTCTCCTCTCCTCCAGGAACATGGGCTTGTCTGAGTGGAGTAGGTACTGCTTCCTCCTCTTTGTACAACAGACATACACAATGACGATCATCACAATAAGGATGGATAGTAGGATTATAACAGGGAGCACAATCTCAAACCAAAGGTTGATGTCTGATTTAAATCGAATGAATGGAATATTTGTGGTTTCTTCCACTAGTGAATGGTTTTGTGTGAAATGTTCAAATTTTGTAATCCTGAACCCTGGCAGAAAGAAGCATGAAAATTCTCTGGTAAGTTCTCCTTTCTCATCTAAAATTTTGCTTTCTTCAGCAGAAATGATATCTATTGTTTCACTCTCCTCTGTCATTAACAAAACAAGTGAACAATTTTCTCTTTTAGTAATAAATATTTCTCTGCTGATGTTGAACCAATTTTTAAGTTCCTCTACAAAAACATACAAGTTTCTCAGATCCTTTACTGGACAAATAGGGTCATCTGAAAAATCCACCACAAATCCATGCTTGGTAATGGTGTACATTTCATTTAATTTCCTAGATATCTCAACTCCAACTGCATCATGGGAAGACTGTCCACAAGAATCCTCTGCTACCACCAGTAATACTTCATTTCTCACAGCAGATTCATTCAGGACTAAGCCATAAATCACCTGATCATCAGTATCAAATTGTATCCAATGGTTGCTAGGTAATGGAATACCATAGCCTGTTGTCATGGTAACAGTTAGCTGTCTTGTGTCTCCATCCTCTGCATCATAGAAATATTCAGGATCCAGCTTCATGTGAAAA